CGCAGTCATATTGGGAAGATGACTCACTGTAGCGGGCAATAGCGGGAGTCTCGGTGAGCTTGAAGCCATCCGTGCCCTCGAAAGCGGGGATCTTGCCATGAGGGAACTTGGCAAGGAACTCGGGCTTCTTGTTGTCCTGGAAGTGGACGTAGGCCTCCGGGAGATCAAGCTTCAGCCCCGCGAACGCAGCGACAGCGCGAATCTAACAGATCGCCGTGAGTTTTGCTGCTACACATGCAACCAGCTATACTGCACGTACGCGCTTGCCGTTGGCGAACTCGGGGGTCGTCCAGAGAGTGCCAGCAGAGGACATTTTGTGCGAGGAGGTGAGAGTACAGTGAAGGACTTGAATCTTTTCATTTTTTTTCCTGTTATCGCTGCAGATCCGGCACGTGACTACAAGCTTCAGGGCCGGCCTCTGCGAGGACAGCGTCGATGGTGTCGATGTCGATGAGGACTTGTTATCCAACGACCATCTCGCGTCTTCCCACCTCCATTTATCTCAAATCCATCGCATTGATCTTCCTCTATGGGCCATCTGTGTGCGGGCGGTGATTGCCTCCAAGATCTGGCGCGTAGACTCCGGAAACGCCGTGATATAGCGCGACTAGTACTCACCTCAACTTCAAGATCCTGAACGCTTGCTAGGTATAGCTTCTCTATTGTCGCCGTTGAACACGAAGGAACTCGCAGTTCGAGAGCATGAGTAATGGAGGCAGCGCGTTGTCCGGAGGACCAGCGCTGAATATCCGGGCCTACCTCAGCGAGAGGCGATGGGACGCAGGTGAGTTCTGAGCGCTGTATGTCTCTGTGTATATCCGAGCCTTTACCTCATGTGTGCAGGATAGTTGGCATCCTGATATATGGCGCTGCCTGGACTGGAGCTGACCGAATTCATTACCTATCGTCGTCTCTTGCGTGCGGCTGTCCTGCCCAGGTCGGCAGTTCAAGCATATTGTCCTGAATGAGTGAGATCCATCAGTGAAGTTGCCCACCTCTACAAAAGTAGAGTGCTTGTGCGCGGTTCGATCCTGATGTACGCGTGTGCTGCGAGATTGGGGTAGTTCAAAGGTATGTGGCCGCTCCGTGATCTCATGCTCAGCCCCCTTCCCATCTCGCTGACTGAAGTGATACATTTCGCACAGACGAGCCGTTTGTATAGACATCGACTGGCCCTTGAGGGCACAAAATCCGGCCAATCGGCTGTAGACGTTCTGCAAACAGGTGAGCCCCCCTACACGGTCTCAGATCCGTCTTCTAGCTTCTCTCGGCTGCAGATTCTCCAGTGCTTCCTCGTCCCAAGTGGGAGCCAGCTGGGAGCACGCATCCGTGAATCACGCTCGCGACATATGCTGTATCTGCGGTCACGTGGTGCGTGTGTGGGTGCACCCAAGCTGTCGTTCCATAGCCCTCAGGGTGCCGCGCGGCCCCCCCTACCCCCGAACAACCACGGACGCACAAGCGACGCACCTAGGGCGAAGGGCATGCAGGTTATGTGAGGGATTGCAGCAGCACCCCTGCGTACCTACCCAAGCATTGCTTATGACAGGCCACTTTACGCCCAGTGGCAGCTCTCTTGCTTCCGACTCCCGAGATCGGCTTGGGACGTAATCTTCGTGTTCCTGTCGGGGCAGGTCAACACAAACGCTCCCGTGCCTATACATGGCGCTCAGTGAGCTTCTTGGCGGTCTGTCGTATGCACTGATGCACCGTGCGTCTCCAAGCCCCGGCTCCGCCAGCCTTGTTGGCCTGCGTCGAGAGGGGCCTAACGGTGCTGATGTCGGAGGTTGGTGCCTTGTTCCATTCGTAAATTGGCAGAGCCGGGCATAGACATGGGAGAGCTTGCTGTGCTTCTTTGCATACACAACTCCCGCCATTGGGCGGGACAGGCGCCAATGCCGACACCTGTATCATACGGCCCCCTGCGGACAGATGTTGAGAACGGCTCGCATGTAGTATCGCCGCTCGGCATACGCATGGCTGTTCACGTAGCTGTCGAGGCTGTCTAAGTCCGATTTTTAACGGAATCCGTCGGTGCCGTCTGACATATCTCCCTCCTCGCCCTCCCACACAACGTAGTAACGCGATGGTTAGGATTCGTTACCGACGACAAGTGATACGCCGCTTGCGATGGATGTTGGAATTTCGTAAGGATGGTCGTGCTCTGGAAGGCCTGACGCGAGCTATCGCACTTGCCACGCTTTTTGCGTCATATCTGCTTCCGAGTGGGTCATCAATCATCGACTGAACGATCATTTCGAAGTATGCAAGTATGCATGTGGGCGTTCGCTTCACGGGAACGGCCTTTCAGGCCCATTGCTTCAAGGGCAACTTCTCCCGTTCTCTTGACGTCCCGGTGCGTATAGACTCTATAAGCAGGCCAAAGATTCACAGCGATTTCCTCCACAGTCCTGGCCGCGTTACAGGTTGACGACCAATAGGTGTCGCGTTGGCGTAATGCTATTGTTGCGAGTGCTAGATCTTTGGAGGATCTAGCAGTGTCACAACCCCATATGCACATGCTGTCCTACAAGGCCGTGAGATGACACACTCGCGGTATAGATTAGCACGATCTTCCGATCCCCCAAGGAGGTACGACGAAACCGGTACCGTGCCATGACCGTACCCGCTGCGCTTATAAAATGTGCAGCCAGCCAAGTATCCTCCCCGTGGTCCACTCCGCTCTCATCCCCCACTTCACGGCGTCTCCGTGCTCTGTCAGCATCTCGCCATGCTTCCTCGGCTATCCCAGTTGCTTCTTGCTGCGCTCGCACTCAGCGGCGTAGTCTTCGCCGACCCCTCCAGCGACGAGGAGCTCAATGCTTTCTTCGCCCGCGAGGGTGCAGCTGTGAAGCCGCTGAACCTTGGCAGGCGGTCAGCTGCCACCACGCCCACACGCCACCTCCGGCCTATGTACGAGGCGGAAGGGGCAGTGAGGAGGAAGCGCGACATAACGCCTCCCGACGTCGGACAAGTTGCGGATTTTGGCGGCCAGGATCCTGAACCTATACGGAATGGTGCCGGCGATACATTCCTTGCAGCTAGCAACCACGAGATCGATGCCCAGAACCCCGACAACGTCGCAGCACCCCCCACGGATGCAGGTACGGGAGGCTCAACATCGAATTGGGAGTCGAGCAGCGCTGACGTTACGAGCTCCTTGCAGGCACCGTGCCGAACTTGAAGTGGAGCATGTCCCTGTCGCATACGCGGCTGCTTAAAGTTTGTGTTCCCCGAATTCGTTTGTGCGCCTCGAGTGCTAAGCTAGCTCTGTACCTTCCATAGGGAGGATGGGTACGCGAGCAGACGATCACGGATTTGCCGTCTTGTGAGTGATTATGTTCAGTACCCCGCACTGATTTACGAGAGAAGCTGACTTGACACGATCCGTTAGCTAAGGATCTCGCTGGCGCGGAACTGCGTCTGTCGCCGTTCGCGTACCGTGAACTGTGAGGTCTCTTAGCGCTTGTGAAACGCCTGCCTACTGATTCGCTCCTGCAGGCACTGGCACCGCGTGGCTGAATGGGGCTACATTCTGAACGGAACCGGGCGTATCTCTGCCATCGACGACAGCGGCCGGAGCTACATCTCGGACGTGAAGGGCCCTTCGAACGGGAGCGACCCAGACATCTACTAGTGAGTACCACACCGAGGCTCTTCGCTCGCGCTCGTCTCGGGTTGATGCTTACTTGGCGCGCGTTTCTGAACAGCTTCCCGCCGGGCGTGCCACACTCCATTCAGGCACTCGACCAGGGTCTTGAGATTCTGCTAATCTTCACTGACGGCAACTTCGATGCGACCGGCACCACATTCATGCTGTCCGACTGGCTCGCCCACACCCCGCTCGAGATCGTAGCGCAGAACTTTGGTGTAAACGTGAGCGAGCTGGGCGGCATCCCGCAGAAGGACCCGTACATCCTGAAGAGCACGGTCCAGCCACCACCGTTCGGCCACGCGTCGGAGCAGGCGGTCTCAGACCCGCAGGGGGACGTTCCGAACCCCTACGTGTTCCATCTGAACCAACAGGAGAAGACGAACGCCCCCGGCGGCTGGGTCAAGATCCAGGATTCCGTCACCAATTTTCCGGTCTCGAAGCTGCTCGCGAGCGCGCTTGTGTTCATCGAGCCTAACGGTCTTCGTGAGCTCCACTGGCACATCAACGATGGTAAGCGCACCCTGTTCCCGATCGTCTCCCCGCCGCCTTCTGACGCGTGCTTCCGTGACAGAGTGGCTCTACATCATCAGTGGACATGGTCGGGCGACTGCGTTCGCGGGCGGCAGCACCGCGCGGACGTTCGATTTCCAGGTATGTGATACCCTTGTGGCTGCCTACTCGAGGAGCTCATGACCGTATGTTATCCGCAGCCCGGCGACACTGCGGTGTTCCCCATCTCATATGGCCATTACATCAAGAACCTCTCCCCTACGGAGCCTCTCATTTACCTCGAGCTCTTCAAGGCGGAGAAGTTTATCGACTTCAGCGCGACCCAGTGGTAAGTCTGCCTCTCACCTTGTATCCCATTGCCGTCGGCCGACTGAATGCCTTCTCCCTCTTAGGCTCGGGCTCATGCCCAGGCAAGTCGTTGCTGACCTCTTGAACATCTCTACCGCGACCGTCGAGACTTTCACAAAGGAGAAGCAGATCGTCATCGCGTGAACTCCCGGTAAAACCTGGGAATGTACATAGACTATCTATCCTGACTAACTATACATATATATGTCGGTCTCTTGGCGGTGTCTGGATTGAAGATGGCCTTCACCTTCCGATGCGTTCTGTTTTCATACGTCACTACTCTTTGACTCGTGTATTCTATTCGTTCGCTATGTCGTACTCACCACACGCATTTGCCATCTAAGTATTGTACTTCATCACAAGGTTTCGAATTTTCATACGACCAAACCTCCGCTGTCCCTCGTAAGACACTGCCTGCATTATTTCAGCAGCCAGCCTCTGAGGTGGTGGAGAGTAATGCCATCAAATGTTAACCGCCGTTCTTCACGGGCATGTGGTGTAGTTGGTTATCACGCTCGCTTAGCATCCTCCAATTCGGCTACTAGCATGCGAGAGGGGTCCGGTTCAATCCCGGACATGTCCACGCGTCAGTGACGTTTTTGTGGTATGTTGTTCATATGTCGCAGGATGACCTGGGCCATGTCAAGGGGACATGGTAGACTTAGAGCATCCCACTTGATCGAAGGTGTCGTGTTGTCGTACGCACCTGACAATTCCCAAGGCGCAGCTCACATCTCCATGAATATCCGGTATACAATACGATGTTATACAGTACGTAGGCAGAACGTCCGTGGGCAAGACATGCATACATGATACACGCAAACTTAGCTCGCGCAGAGATCTCACAGCAACTATACCTGGCTGAGCGGCTCATACCCGCTCCTGCTCCGGCCACCCCCAAGCCCGAAACCCATGAGCAGCTTGTTCCGCAGCGACTTGCGTCCTCCAGAGTCCGCATGCCCGTCGTCGCCCTCCTCGCGCTGTCGCCTGCGCTTCGCCTCCGAGAAGCCCTCGAGCGGGACGTCGTACAGCCGCTCGTACTCGACGCCCAGCTCCTGGCCGGCCGACCAGAAGTCCTTGCAGTTCCCGATGATGCCGAGGTCAAACGGGTTCGGCGCCTTGGCCGCGCGCGCGAGCCCGTCCGCCGCCTTGCCCTTCGTGAACCTGTCGAATCCGAGGAGGTTCATCAGGAAGCCGCTGCCGCACCCCGCGCACATGCCGTGCGCGTGGCGATGCGCGTGGGCGCCGCTAACTTCGCCGCCCGTCGAGTCGTCCGAGGGCAGCGCGAGGTGTCGGTGGCCCATCTGGCCGTGCAGGCTGGATCCGCCGCGGCCGCCCATGAAACCGTACCTGCCGAGGTTGGACACTTCGAAGGTGGTCATCTGGCGCGCGACCTGCCAGAGCTGGGTGGCGAGGAGGACGAGTGTCCATGACAGCTGCAGGGTGGACCATGCGGCGACCGAGAAGAGGAAGGTGTCGTATGCCGTGATGGCACACAGGTACGACGGCAGGACGCATGATGGAGAGATGTTCGCGGGTTCGGTCGAGACAGAGACGTTCGAGAAGTCTGCAGCGGCCGGGTCAGGAGGATTCATCAGGAAGAGGTGAGCGTAAGGGCGTACATTCGAACGTCAGGTAGTCGAACAGGATGATGCCCAGAACGAGGGTCATGACAAACAGCAAGAATTGCCGATGATTGTGCATGCCAACTGTTGAGGATGTGAGTAAACCGAACACCATCAGGGGAATCGCTACGTACTGCAGTTCCATACCCATGGACAATGGCTGACGACCGTCATGTGAGATACAGAACCGCCACAGAATTACGGTACTTACTGGTCGTGTCGTGCAATGCAACGGTCGCATATACGGCAATGCTTAGACCGCAGCGGCTTGCGAGCCTGAGTCTTTGTTTAGCATGACATATGACCGCGATGGCACTGCACACGTACCATGCATTGAATGCAGAATGTCTGACCATTCAAACGGCCCTGCGAAGCAAGTTCCTCTATGATCTGTGGTAAGCTATGAGCGGAGGTTCCTGGAACAAGACAGCCCAGACGTACAGTCTTGAGCTCGCCATCGTTGGAAGGCTTCGGGCATGTCCCTGCATCCAAGGTGATGGCGCGGAAAAAGTTGTAGGCACATAACCCGATAGAAATGGCCAGCGTGAGGTTGGTGAATGGGTGGGATTGTGTCTCTGTGGGAGCTGTGAGTTACTGAACGCCTACGGAGCAAATCGAGACTCACGGTTCATGAGGCGGGTGACCCATGCGTAAGTCACCCAGATGATGGAGCCGGTGATGATACCAGCGAAGTAGGGGCTTTGAGTGACGCTATCGGTATAGTTCGATTTGTCGAGGAGAACTCGTGTCACAATCTACCGTGCGTCAGTCATGATTACGCTCGGAGGCGTGAACGAGCTTACGTGGTGCATGCCGAAGAACAGCGCCATGGCGAGGATTATACCAGTGTACCATGGGAGGATCGTGAGGGTCGTGAACATCAAGAATAGGAACAGGGTCGGCATGCAGAAGATGACGAGCTTCGTGTTTCTCTGCGGAAGGTGAGGTTCTGATTGCAGCAGACTGGGGCATATACTCACCTCGCTGAGAGGTTTCCGCTTGGGCACACCGTCTTCCCCGAGACCACCTTCTTCTAACGCACGTTTCCACGCACCGAGGCTCTTCAACTCGACTGCCATGTCCCGCGCCGTCCTGCCCTCCCCATCCTTCGCATGCACGTCCGCCCCAGCTTCAACGAGTCTCCGTATGCACATCCGGTTGCCTCGGACAACTGCCCAGTGCAGGGGCGTAAGACCAGAGTCGTCCTTCGTGTTCGGACTTGCGCCATGTTTGAGCAAGAGTTCGACCGAGAGTGCATCACCCTGATACGCCGCCCACATGAGCGAAGTGTGTCCTTGCGAGTCGCGCGCGTCGACATTGATCGGTTGGTGGAGGAGATAAAGCAGCGCCATCACGGAAGAGGAGTGCGTGACAAGGTGGAGGGTGTTGTACCCTTGCGCGTCGGTGATGTTGGGGTCCGCGTTGTGTGCGATGAGCAGCTGGATCACGTACAAGTATCCGTTGCGCGCCGCCCACTGCAACGGTGTGGCGACCAGGTCACCACCCAGCGCATCGACCTCCGCACCCTGCTCCAGCAGATAACGACACGCAGCCACCTGCGCGTTGATGGCGGCCCAGTGGAGGGGGGTAATGTTCTGCTCATCCCGGTCTGTTGCGCTCGCCTTGCCAGACTCGATGAGCGATCGAATCGTCTCAACGTCTCCGCGTTGGGCGGCCACAAAAATATTTGCCTGCGCATATCGTCTCATTAGCCGTTGCCTGAGTTACAGTGTACCGCGAGCAGCATACGCACATCTGCCTCCTCCATCGTCTGTAGCGCCTGCGGGAATGTCATCGAGCTTCCAGTGGCCGAAGTCGTGGTGACCGCCGACGCGGAGGGTTCGCTTTTCGAGCTGATGAGGTCGTCCATCGTCGGGCACGGTGATGGTTCGTGTGAAAGAGGAGGGGGTGGTCGCCCGCTGCGGGCAGCGTGGTCGTGGTCGTGGACAGGTATTTGTGGTAAGCTTGACGCTCGGCAACGCCGAGGGCTGTGTTGTGGACGCGACGCTCACTCGACGCCGACGCGCTCGAATTACCAGTGCCAGTTCCCTCAGACGTCTCGCGACTACCCAGGTACGACGTTCATGCAGATACCGCCCCGGCGGGGCTCTTGAACACCATCCATCCAGAACATTGAGCAAAAACGCCGCATCCTAAACATGTCCGGGATTGAACCGGACCCCTCTCGCAAGCAGTCGCCATCAATTCGTGCTAAGCGAGCGTGATAACCAACTACACCACATGCCCTATGTTGGTCCAGTGTAAAATACTGTATCGCTCTCCTTCTACATGGACTCGTGCGGTTTGGAACTTCAAGTGCAACTTGGACTGACTTCCTTCATACCCCGAGGGAGTCCTAGAATCTAAACTGCATCAAGGCAACTCTCTGCATACATCTTGACTGAATAGCATCATCAACGGCGACCAGAGCAATAAGAGCGGACCCTATTCAAGTTGTTCAGCCTCTCAAGCCTTCGGTTCTTCTGCGAACGGATAGTCGATGTATCCGTGCGGATCTTCGGGGAGGTGATACGTCGCCCTTTCCCAAGGAGCGAGCGGGATGTTCTTGCGCAAACGCAGCGGAAGGTCCGGCTGAGTATATCAGGCCGTCAGCACAGACTCCAAATTGGACCCCGTACGACGTACATTCGAGATGAACCGTCGACCGAAGGCGATGAGCTCCCCCGTCTCGTCGGCGCGCTTGATGGCGGATTCTCTCGTATACCGGCCGGCCGAAATGAACGGCCGCGGGAGCCAGAGTTGGCGTAAGAAATCATTTGACTGAACACTTTGGGTTAGGTCCGGGCCCGATGTGAATGCTCGACGCAAGATGTGGACGGTGACGTACCTCGCCCTGGTGGGCCTCGATATCGTACCCGCCTGCAAGACCTGGTTCCACGACATGCAAGTATGCTATGTCCGGGTGACGCTCAAGGACCTGGGAGACCAGGCACGTGAACGTCGGCACGGGATCCCTCATCCGCATGTCTGACAGCGACGAAGACAGTCACTGTCAGCCCTCGTCATGGACATGGCAGCAGAGTTCGCACATATGCTAACCTTGAAATGTGCTCCAAGGACTGACTCGGAACCCAGTCTTCTTCGCACCCACAGCTGCCACCACGGCGTCGATGACCTCCAGCGCAAACCGACACCGATTCTCGATGGACCCGCCGTACTCGTCTGTACGTTGGTTCGAGAGGTCCTGCGTGAATTGGTCGATGAGGTATCCATGAGCGGCATGGACCTCGACCCCGTCGCAACCTGCACCATGCACTGCGTTGCGCGCCGCTTGCGCAAATGCCTCGACATATTGCTTGATCTCTGTGCGCCATATGTGGCCGCTGGTAAGTCTCCGCAAACCGCTTCCAACCGACAATTGTTCTCACCAGGAATGGTGAGTTCACGGGGCACGTCCTCAGGCTGCGTGCTGAGCGGGATGGCCGAGGGCGCGACGTAGGGATACTCCGGATTCTCGGCCTTCAGTGCCGCGGGCACAGCGGCACGGCCAAGAGCCCATATCTGCATGTATATGTACGAGCCCTTCTCGTGCACCGCGTCGGCGATCTGTGCATCAGTTGAGATCAAGCACGCACGCATGTATACAAGTGAGAGGATGTAGACGCACCCGTTTCCATGCGACCGTCTGCTCCTCGTTCCAAATGCCAGGAGCATGAGGAGAGAAATGCCCTGCATATGGCGCGACGAAAGTCGCCTCCGTGATAAGGAGGGTGCCCGGGACTGAGGCGCGCTGTGCGTAGTATGTCACGCCGAGGTCGGTGTGAACGTGCTTGTTATTCGCGCGCATGCGGGTGAGAGGCGCGAGGACGACGCGATGGCCGAGCGTTACATTGCCTACTTGGACGGGCTGAAAGAGAGTAGGCACGGTTTCGGCCAGTTCTCCCATCTTGACTCGGACAGGGAAATTGCCTTGTGCTGCGAATTGAGGATATGGTTG